AGGCTGTAAATCTTTACGGGAGCAGAAAGCCTCATCTTTCTCCCGCGGAACAGCTGGTAGTTTCGAACTGCTGACCGTGAGGTTCGCAGCCCGATTCATATAGTACTAAATATAAATCCTTCCTAAGATAGATTTCTAAATGAAATTACTAAGTCAAAGGATATAAACTTTTTCACGACTTGAAGCTATAAATTGCCAAATGGTTCTCCAGATTTGTGCTCCTGCCTACTGTTGTTAGGATGGCTTTATAGGATGGCATTCGGGTTGTTTTAATGTGGAGAGATAGCCCACAATCCCAGTCCTCAGACAGACATGTGCCCTGATCAGTAAATGCACGTAACACCAAAGACTCGGAAATGAATCACATGTGCACAAACATGCGCACGCGTGCACACACACACACACACACACACACACACACACACCACACCACACCTCCCTGCCCCTGTTCTTCCCAGAGGAGCCACCCACCATTAACTTACTCCTGAGAACAAATGATGTGGAAATCTGTGCACATCCTCTTCAGCGTTGACTTCTGGGGACCCTATTTATTGTGCACACGGTTTTGTTGGTGTTTGCCTCCCTGAGTGTACCTTGGCCATCTCTCCATATCAGCCCATGCAACAGACCCATCTCATTTTTCTTCCCGTGATTTCATAGAATTCTCTTGTATTTTGTGCCTGGATCTTGGCGGTTTTGCGTAGGTGACACTCATGGTAAGGAACCTTCATGGTACGGTGGCTAAGTGCTCAGTTGCCAACCAAAAGGCAGTGGTTCAAACTTGCCTTTGGAGAAAGATGCGACAGTCTGCTTTGATAAAGATTTGCAATCTTGGGGAATCTGTTGGGCAGTTCTCTCTCTTCTGTAAGGTGGTTGTGAGTCAGAAGGAACTCAAATGGGGTGTTTTGCCGTTTTTTAACAGTTAGGTTACAAAATACTAAGTGTATAAAAAGTTGTGCTTCTAAAAATACATACGTTTCCTTCCCAACTCAGGCAAAGAACATCTCAGCCCTAGTCATCCCAAAGTCTGATTCTTGTGATTTTAAACACATGAAAAAAGTAGACTGTACGAGCAGTTAATATATTGTCTAAAGGGAACAGCGATGGACAGGTCAAGAGCTCTTGGTTGTCAACAATGTGGAGGTGGGAAGGAGGTTTACTTTTCTGTCCCTCCCATCGTTCAGGGTTTTCTGAAGATCCCCATCTGGTGGTACCAGCCTTGGGACCCCTCAGGACACCACCAGATTCTTGAAGACCTGCCGAGCTCTGCCACCACGCAGGATGGCGCCTGGAGGACTGCGTCCAGTCCAGGTGCGAGGGGGTTGGACATGCCATGGCCAGCAGAGCACCTGCTTCCGCTGTGGGGCACGGAAATGCCTGTGGTCACGTGAAAGGTTGCCAGTGGGAATCTGGTCCTCCTTGGTACGACAGCGTCCTGTTTGATACAGTGGTTTTCCCTCAGAAGGCGCCGTGTCTCCTGTTGTTTTCCTTCCTATATTGTCACTGTTGAGGGACACATGGTTCAGAAATGAGAAATAAATACAGCTAAGGCTTTTTTCAAACATTGCAAGGAGCCCTGGTTAAGCATTGGGCTACTGCCCGATAGCTCGGCGATTCAAACCCTCCAGCGTCTCCACAGAAGGAAGGTTCCACCGGCTGCTCCCATGAAGACTAACAGCCTCAGAAACCCCGTGGAGCCGTCCCAGGGTGTCTGTGAGTCACAAGCAACTGGACAGGAGTGGCCTTTCCTACGTGGCTTTCTGTCTCCCTGAAGGTGTTCCTGAGCCTGTGCACACAGAAGCCTCCCTCCACTACCTGGGAGACGTGGACATCTCTGAGGACGCGGCCTTGGCAGAGCTGAAGGCTCAGGTCAGACCCCTTTTCCCGTCGGTGTTGGTGCTGAGGTGGCTTCTCCCTCACTTGCAGTCTGTTCTGATAGTGGCACTAGTTAGGTGTTATGTTCAGGGCTGAGTACGCATCAGGCAGCTGCCCAGCAGCCTTCCCACCCCACACAGACAGGCCTGCCGTCCTCCATGGGACTCCATCCCCAGGCACCTGCTGCTTATGTTCATGTAGGGGTTTTAGGGAAACGTGGTTGGTGGAAGCATTTGTAAAGTGCTCACTGCCCCCTTGATTCACATTGTGTTGTGTCGTTGTGGTGATCCACGCATTACATGTCTGTGTTTACCAATTCCCTGTCAGGACTGTTTTCTTAGGGAAATGGGAAGGCTGTATTCTCAGGACGAGTCCCCACATGCACACACAGCCCAGAATGGTCGTGAAGTGGAGGAAGGTGCATTGGGTTGAAAGATACAAAATTCCTATTTTTAAAGTCAAAAAAGGATGAATAATGACATCATCATACAGCTGAAACCTAACCAGCACACAGCGATTTGGGCCCAGCACTTGGATCCAAAGAGAGGTTTCAGCCTCCAGGTGAATTCCTCTTAGCAGAGCAAGAACGGACAGAGGGTCAACTCAAGGGCCTTCCCTTTCACTAACAGTGCTCTGCTCGTGACACGAGCTCACAGGAAGGCGCTCTGGGCTGCGCGTTAGACATCGAACCTGCGTGGCTCTGAGATGGCCTTCAGTGGACAGGAAGGCAGGGTCACTGAGAGCTAGGCCGCTGCAGAGACAAGGCCTGTGACTTGCACACAGCCCCCTTTCGCTGTGTTCCTCTCTGTATCACGGCGTGGGGCTTGCAGAACGCTGCTTAGACTCATTGGGGAAATGTCTGCTGCTTCTTCTAGGCCATGACCTTGCCCTCTTTCTCAGAGTTTGCCGTTCCATCCCCAACCTTCCTCCGAGCCTGGACCGTGGAAGGCAGACGCCCGGGCAGGCTCCTCCGGAGTAACCAGCTGCAGCTCAGGTGGGCTCCTTCCCCCACAGGGCTGCGGGCCGGAGACGAGGCAGGCTGAAGGGAAAAGAGTTGTTTGAGTTGGATACTAACGCAAAGTGTTTGAGATACAACGTTTGTTGTTGTGAAGAGCTGTCAGTTCTGACTTGTAGTGACCTTGTGGTTACCATTCCAGTGCTAATCCTACAACCCCATTTAATTATCGGTTAAATTTGGGAAAATGTCAGTTTACCGTATTAAATATAAAGGTAGCTTGTGTTTGTTTTCCTGTCCTAGATACCATGAATGAAATGTTTCATGCTCTTAGGAGGTATCCAGAAAATAATCTTTAGCTTAAGAAGAAACCATAAAATTGGTCAAAAGAAGGAAGAAAAAAACTTTAAGAGGACTTGTCAGTGATACATCCCTGAATCTTGTTCCTCTTCTTGAACCATCAGGGAATGCAGACTTGGAAGGAGAGCTGAGGTCTGTCTGGAGCGTCTTCAGAGGGAAGAGCACTTGGGGTAAGACGTGCTTATTCACACGTCCCAACAGCCCACTGTCCCCCAAAACGTCCACGACTGAATCTAGAGGCTCATCTGTTGGTCACTACTACTGAGTGGGCGGGCAGCTTAAGACAGACAGACTGCTTTAGAAAGATGTCTGTATGTCCTGTGCCTCGGGCTTGGCGCTCTGTCCCAGAGAGAGACGCAGAGCGAACGGACAGCAAGCGTTTTCCAGCCTTATCCACACGTACATATTGAGCCCAGAATCGTCTGGGGAGTGCACACCACATGCTTCTTCTCACACTTACAGCTGCACTTGAGTGGTGGTCTGCTCCCGCCCCTCCTTGACTCACACTCGTGCCACCTGACAGATGACTGACACATTCGCATTTGACCATCTGTCTGCCGCCACTGTCCACCGCTGCCCCTGCATGAGTCCAGCAGTGCCTCGTGCATGAAGCCCCTGGGCGCTGCAGTCTGCAGTCAGCCCACAGAGCTTTTCAGCCATTGTTTGCTGACTCGAGGAGCACCCGCCCACCCACCTATTCTCTGCTTTCCTCACTCCTGGAGATCTTAACAAACCCTTCTGAGTGGTCTCACCAACTATTCAGATTCTACTAGCTGGGAGACCCTCCCTGGCACCCTGCTCTGAGAGCACTCCCAAACCTGTCCAAGCTTCACTTCATCCTGAGGGCTTCATAAAATCATCATGTTGGCCGGACTTGTATTTCTGAGGGTAGTTTCTCAGAAGGGGGATTCCTGGACCCCGGATAGTGTCGGTGTTTTAAAGCTCATAAAGTAGTGCATCTTTCCTTTCCAGATAAGTTGCATGAATTTGTGTCACACAAGCATCTCATACCTGCGTTGAATACGGTCATGGTTTAAGGGTTTGCTTAGCTGACAAGCCTGGTTATTCTGCTATTTCCCTCAGGCCTTTGGGTGAGCAGTTCTCGAAGGTTTTGAAGCCATTTGTACTTTGTATGTGTACAGATGGTTTCATATGTTTGCCTTTTAATCCAGTGACAGCTAGGAGAAACGTAACCCTACTTTCTGTGGGCGCTTTATATAATAACAGCACTGGCCTCACATTTGTTGTTAGCAGTGTCCTGCTGAAGCACATACTGTGCACCTCGTAGCCCACACACGCACGTGCATACGCAAGCACACAGATATACAGTCATACAGACACACGGATGTATATAGACACACAGTTAATATGCTCATACAGACACAGATATACACATTCATACATACACACAGATATATATACACACAGAGACACACACAAACACAGATACACACACTCAATCAGATACACGATACACTCATGCAGATACACACTCAGACACACAAACACTCAGACAGATACACACATGCTCATTCAGATACATACACTCATGCAGATACACACATGCTCATATACTGATACATGCTGAGATACACACTCACATACACACACGCACACTCATACAGGCAGACACATGCACAGTTATTGTGAGGTGTCCGTTTTGCTGACCTAGCCCCGGCGGGCTCTCCTCTCACAGCCCCCAGGACTTGGTGCTCCGGGCCCAGCTGCGCCTCCCAGGTGAGAGGACCTACTCGCTGCCGGTGGACGTGGTGTGGGACACAGCCCGAGGCTGCACTGCGGCCTCCCTGAGGCAGAGAGTGGCTGACATCTACTCGCTCCCCGTGGAGAAGGTTGACATGGCCAAACACTTTCCTGAGAAGTTTGAGTGGATCCCGATCTCGAGCTGGGTAAAGTCTGGGGCCTTCTAAAAACTGACGCGGGGGCTGGGGAGGAACAGTTCGCAGGGACATGCAAGTGGAAAAGTGCAATTCTGTGGCCTGGAAATGTCCTGTCAGAGGGAATTCATTTAGTAAGAATTTGAGATTGAGTTTTTTCTTATGGAAGGTGTTTGATTTTTGACAGAACCAGCAAATTTCCAAGAGGAGAAAGAAGAAAAAGCAGGATAATTTGCAGGGGGCACCTTATTACCTGAAAGACGGCGATACGATTGGTGTCAAGGTAAACATTTACCCCAAACCTAGCACTTGGGCAGGATACCAGGCTCCGGGCGCGTTGTATAGAGGTGCGGTGGGTTTTCAAAGTTCCATGGCACAGATAGTCCCTATTTTATACAGATTATCTCCGAGAACGGGAGAGGGGGAACCAGGCCCATCATGGGAAAGGGAAGAATGGTGTTGGTCCCTTTCATGTAAACGCAATATTAGAAACGATCACAAATGACACCCAACCGTGTATTGTAAGCAGTAGTACTGTGGGACAACTTGGAGACGTAGCCAAGGAGTGCAGAACGTCCAGAATGGATTCCTGTTGTAACCCATGCACATGCACTATGACTTGACAGATCTGAATTCTGTGTTGATTCATGATGTATAAAAAGAACTGGGAGCAGTGGCGTATAGAGGGGACTCCCCCCATATCCCCCAGAAGCAGCATCACGACACAGGATGATCCACCGCAGGCTGTCAACCACATGAGACCCCCAAATGAGGATTCCCTGTACCACCCCTTCTCTTCAACATTGGGCTAAATGATGAAGCCACTGTAACAGGATTCCTTCACCCCCAAAATAAAAGAAGAAAAAATTTTAAGGGACTATATAAAAGTATTTCACAGATGCAGTTTTTCTACAAAACAGAAGCATGTGACTGAAGACACACATTAGGTCTGTTGGATTGGGGAGCTCAGCATGGTTCTAAGTTCAGCCCACAAAAGCCCACCCGGTGCCTGGACCTATGAGCGTCCTGTCAGCCATCCTGGAGACCGTGACCACAGTGTTTCTCAGCGGTCTTCCAGAAAGGGCCATACCGGGAGCTCCCCCAAAGTTGTCAGTCTCATCCATTCCACTGGGAAGCCAGAGAGCTTAGTACAGACAGAGAACTAGACCAGTGGATCTGGAACGAGGTCCCAGACACAGAATGACACGGACACTGGACATGATTTGTAGAGACGTCACACATGGTTCCATGAATAAAGAGTGCTAAGAGAATTGGTTTATCTGTCTAGAAAAAATAGTATTCATAATTTTTACTGAATTTGTACAGGGGTCTCCAATTGGATATAAGCTTCCTGCCTTAGTAAATTATCTATATGGCTCACACAGATCAATTGAAGCTAATTAAAGACATATAGGCAAGGAAAGCAATCTTTTCAACCATTAGTATAAATTTAAATAGGAAAATATCTATGATTAAGCCCAGAAAATTTTTCCTTAAAAAGCCGAGTCATAAATAAAGAGGTGGATACATATGACACATTAAAATGTTTTTGTTCCTCCAAAAAAGCCATAGGAGAAAGTGGGGACAGTCACAGGCAGAGAGAACCCAAGTAGCCCTGTGACTGCCCAGCATACACGAAGATCCTCTAGCCAGTCACTGCCCAGTCCAGTAAAGATGGCCAGAGCCCCCCACCGTTCACAGAGGAGCGCCCCTTGTGATCAGAGAGTGGGAGAACCGTCCTGTACTGCACAGCCACTCAGAGAACAGCATGGTGGGGTGTGGTAAAGGGTCCCCCTACCCTCAGACACCTTCAGCAAAGGAGCCATCGAAGCCCTGCTCGTAGCATCTCACTGGAAAGGGCCTGCATGTGGGGACAGCGGGCAGGTGAACAGTCAGCACGTCTGACAGCGAATCTTAGTGTTGCAGTGAAACTCACCCCACACTTATTACATAAAGTGTGAAGCCAGTGAAAAGGCTCCGCAGTCCTGAGGGTCCCTTTCCTGTGTGAGGAGAGATGAAGGTGAGAACCCGCCCTCCCACTGCTCTGGAGGTGATTACAACTCATAGCGACCCTGGGTTGCTAAGTGCCGTTGTTCTGACTCAGAACTTTTCATGTGTGTGTGTATTTATATGTTGTTAAGTGCCATGGAGTTGGTCCCAACTCATAGCAACCCTGTATTCGGATTTCCGGACAACATGTGCAAGGGCAACTTAAGAAGACAAAGTGTTATAGTGAAATGTGCACGTACATACCTGGGGTTAGAGAACCCAAAGAGAAAAACACGCTCAGCATTGCTCAAGCTGAAAGAATTCACACTTTGATGTGCAGCATTGAGGAGTCTGTGGTAAAGGATAAGCACTTGACTGCAAGTTTGGTGGTTCAGACCCATCTGCTCCTTGGAAACCCTATACAGTGTCGCTGTGAGTCCGAACTGACTCAGTGGCACTTAAAACCAGCAAGAAATGGCAAAGTGGAGGGTCAGCTAAGAAGAGGAAGACCCCCAACGAAATAGATGGGCACAGTGGCAGCAGCAGTGGATGCAAGTGTAGCAATGGTTGTGCAGTTGGTGCAGGACTAGGCACCTAACAACAACAACAACAACATGGGCAAAGTGCTGACTGACACAGAAAGCATCAAAAGGTGGAGGAGATACGGAGAGTAACTGGACCAAAAAGGAGCCGTCAGTGTTCAGTCGTTTCCAAGAGGAGCAGATGATCAAAGACCAATGGTCCTGAAGGCCGAAGTCCAAGGTGCACTGAAGGCATTGGCAAAGAACAGTGCTCTTGGAATTGATGGAATACGATTTGATGCCAAAATGGTGAAATCTTTCAACAATTGGCTAAAGCACTGGGAATCACTAACTCATCTGTGCCAAGAAATTCAGAAGACAGCGAGCTGGCCAGCTGCTTGGAAGAGATCCGTAACTGTGTCCATTCCAAAGAGGTGATCCACTGGAATGTGGAAATCATCAAACAGTATCATTAATACCACATGAAAGTGGAATTTTACTAAGCACAATTCAGAACAGTTGGCAGAAATTCAGGCAGAATTCAGAAGCGATGTGGACTAAGGTACATCATTGCTGTTGTCAGCTAGATCTTGGCTGGAAACAGACAATACCACAAAGATGGGGAGACTGAATGGTTTAAAATTAGGAAAGGTGTGTGTGGCAGGAACTGTGGGTTAATGAGCTGGACTGCAAAGTCGGTTTGAGCCGCAGTCAGTAGTTCAAACCCATGAGCTGTCCCTTGGAAACCCTATACAGGGTCGCTATGGGTTGGAACCGACTCAATGGCACTTAACAACAACATTCAAACTGTGCTGAGCACATAATCTGAGAAGCTGGATTATATGAAGAAGAATGTGGCATTAGGATTGGAGGGAAGACTTACTGCCTGTGATACACAGATGATACAACCTTGCTTGCTAGAAGGGAATAGGACTTAAAGTACTTTTACTAATGAAGCCCAAAGACCACAACCTTCAATATGGATTGTACTTCAATGTAAAGAAAACAAAACTCCTCACAACTGGACCAATAAATAACATCACCATAAATGGAGAAAAACGTAAAGTCGTCAAGATAATTACTTTTTCTTGGATCGCAGTCAACACTCATGGAAGCAGCAGTCAAGAAATCAAGGGATGTAATGCACTGGGCAGATCTGCACAAGACGTCATAAAAGTATTAAAGAGCAAAGGTATCAGTCTGAGGACTAAGGTGCACCTGATCCAAGCCATGATACTTTCAGCAACTTCACATGCATGTCAAAGTTGGACAGTTGGTTACGAATCAGGCTGCGAACCTCAAGGTCAAGCAGTTCGAAACTACCAGCTGTTCCAATGGAGAAAGATGAGGCTTTCTACTCCTGAAGCGTAGTGGTTACGAATCGGGCTGCGAACCTTAAGGTCAGCGGTTCGAAACTACCAGCCGCTCCGCGGGAGAAAGATGAGGCTTTCTACTCCCGTAAAGATTTACACCCTCGGAAACCCTGTACAGGGTCGCTATGGGTCGGACCCGACTCGATGGCACTTAACAACAACAACAAAAGATTTACAGCCTCAGAAACCCTGTACAGGATCACTATGAGTTGGTTCCAACTCCTCCACGGCACATAACCACCACCACCACCATCGAAGAATTGATTCATTTGCGTTGTGGTGTTGGAGGAGAATATTGAAAGTATCATGGACTGCCAAAAGAACAAATCAATCTGTGTTGGAAGAAGCACAGCCAGGGTGCTCCTTGGAGGACAGGATTGCGAGACTTCATCTCTCATACTTTGGACATGTTGTCAGGAAGGACCAGTCCCTGGAGAAGGATGTTATTCTTGGTAAAGTGGAGGATCAGTGAAAGAGAGGAAAAGAGGAAGACACACCACCACCACCACCACCACCTCGCCCCCAGTGAGATGGATTGGCACTGTGGTAAAAGTCGATGCTACAGCACCTAACAACAACAGGGTTTTCACAGGAGCAGCTGGTGGTTTTGAATTGCTGACCTTGCGGTTAGCAGTCCGGTGCTCATTACACAACATCACACCAGGTAAAACTGCCCCATTGGGTTTCAGAGATTGTAGAAGACACCCTCATCTTTCCCCTAGAGCAGCTAGTGGGTTCAAACTGCTGACTTTGTGGTTAGCAGCCCAGTGCATGACCCACCATGCCACCAGGACTGTTTGAAGATGAGAATAGTCTAGTCGCCCCACGTCTAGAGGTGGGGGACCTCAGAAGCCTCGACAAGTCTCTTAGAGGTATGGGGAGCAGTGTGGTGTGTGCCAAGCTTCCCCAGTGGCCACCTGGCTCCTCCTGGCAGCCTGTGCAGCAGCCGTGTTAGATGGGGAGCAGGAGGCACTGGGGTGTCCTGTGTTCCGCCTTCCTGTCTATTCAGTGCTTTACCATTTTTGTAACTCTAGTTTTCAGGACTTGCAGCTTATCACCCACAATCTGTTAGAATTGAAAGTATAATATTTGTTATGATACTGTTTGTAAGCTAGAGAGGAGAAAACCACCCTACATTCAGTTCTTCCATCAGTACCTGTGTCACCGAAAGGCCATGTACCTAAGGCCCCTCTCCTTCTGGTGGAACCTGGCGAGCCCTCAGAGCTGTGGGACTCAGCTGCCTCCTCAGCCCATTTTCTGTGGGACATGCCTGTGGGCTTTCCCTGAAGCGCCAGGGAAGTCTGAAGGAATACGTAGAAGCAGGACTGGTAGCTGCGTCCCATCAGGTGACGTGGGGTCTGTGCACTCCTATAGTCTGCAGTGCTCCAGGCTGAGAACTCATGCCCCTCATGACTGTGCTCCTGTCCACGGTACATTTGTTTTTATCAAGTTCTAGAATGTTCTGTGCTTGCTCTTAGTGGTTAATCTAGCCTGTATAAATTTGAAAATATCTCTTTGTTAATTCAGGTAATTTCTTAAATATATTTTAACTATACACTAAAAAAGACGTCTGAAAATGCCTCATTTTTTTTTGAAATAGAATCTACTGGCTGAAGATGATGATGACTTCAGTACGGTCAGAGATGATCTGGGGAAAGAGAAGCAGAGACAACTTGCTCTGGGAAAAAAGAAAAGGTAATTAGGCTTCTCAGGAGCCCACCCCTGACCACTTCCATCCAGAGCGTCCTCGGGGGGTGCTCAGCATTCTTCTTGCTCTTGCTTGAAACTGTGGAGGAAGGCCAGGAACTGGGGTTCGCTAGAGCTATTCCCCAGCCCCAGGGAGCTCTCCTGCCGACAACTTCTGTCTGGTCCTTAGAGCGCCTCCTAGTGGAACTTCTGCTGACACGTGCAAGGAAGATGTAGACCCTCCAGCTGTGTCCCAGGCTCGTTCTCTCCCCTCGGGAAGCTCGTTCTCTCAGGCAGCTCACCTGCATCCCTCCTCAGCTTCGTCCCATTTTCTGGGGCTCGTCTTTCAGATACCAGCACCCTCAGGTCTCCATTTATCTAAGCAGATAGCCACCCCCATTCTACTTCCAAGTTCCCCTCCTTCCCTGGCTCCGGGTGCAAGGAACCCTTCTCTCTGTCGTCCATCCCTGCAGTTCCACACACACTCCTTCCACCTCCCGGCTGCCCTCAGCAATCTCCTTTAAGGGCCGCTTTCTAGTGTCCACTTGCCGAGTGTGGACACATGCTGTCCCCCTGCTGTCGCCGGTGGTGGAGGTGATGGAGATACCAGAAGGGCACGCTCTCAGTGTCAGGGTTTCCTCTTGTCAGGGCGCTACCCCTGTATCTAGAGAAGTTCTGCCTAGTACTGAGTGAGCTGTCTGTCCGTCCATCTCGCCACAGCTGGGTGTACTTGCAGTGCTTAGGACTTAACCCTGACTCTTCCTGGGAATAATGGGAATGCTGACCATCAGGATGGAGAGAGAACTTGTGGGCTCTCTGGTGATGGACGCACTATGCAGCCAGGATGAGAAAGGAAGGACTGTTATAGACACCGCGGGGGGGACATGTTCACACCTTAATCCAGGTGGTGGGCCCACCAGTGAGCACATTCCTGGGCTGGACATTCGGTATTTGTGTGTTCTCTGAATGTACAAAGTGGCCAACAGAGCCTGTGCTGTGGGACACCGTGCCCAGCCCCTTCCACGACCCAGAGTCGCCATGGTGGACACAGGGCGAGGTCAGGGCAGAGAGCGGCACGTTTTCTCTGTGGCGGTTTGGAAATATTGGTGAGAATTACTGTCGTCCTCGGTGCTCACTGCCTGCCTCTGCCACAGTGATGACCCTGTGTCTCCACAGCCGAGAAGCCCATCGTGCGCAGAGCAGCAACGCTTTCTCAGTCACAGAGATGTCAACCCGGCCCCGGGGAACGGAAGCTTCTCTCTCCATCCACGTGGGAAGTTTCAGATAGCACAGGCGGCCCATGGCAGTCTGTGCCCCATCTCCTCAGCGGCGGGCAGCTGCGGGCTCGGCTTCTCCACAAGACCAGGTTCTGTGGACTGTCCAGTCAGGTGCCTTGTTCAGACACATGTTCCAGATCCTCTGCTTTACTTCAAGTCACGTGACTTCCCTCTCAGGCCAGCAAATGCACTTTATTTCTGGGATGCAGTGTCCACACCATGCCACCCTGTCCATCCTTGGTCGTACCTAAGACGTGCCAATCAGATGTCCACCTGGCATCTTTACCCCAGCCCCCCTTTCTGTAAGCAGGTGTGCTGCTTCTGCACTGACCGACTGTAGGTGTGGACAGAGTGGCATGTCGCTAACCTGGCTAACTCGGGTTACTTCGCTCCTCTCTTGCACTATGTAGAGGGCTCTGTGGTCATCTGTGTTCACAGGGTCCTCAAAGGCTGGGGTGCTCTGGCTCTGCCTCCCTCCCACCTTGCCTGGGGATGAAAGCTGTGGTTCCAGATGCCCACCTTTCTGGAAGGAGGAGACACATGGGGGGCTGGGACCATCGGAGGCGGAGATACTCTGCTCACTAGAAGCAGCCTTGGGGGCCAAGGCGTGGCAGCCAGGTGGCCCTGGGTGGGCTGGACGGAGATTCTTGACCATCTCATCTATGAAGACAACTGAGAAAATGGCTGTAAACAGATTTTTGCTCCAGAACTGAAGATGGCTGACGAGAACAGGGAGGCTGAGTCACCTGTGACTACGTGTCCGTGGTGAGCGACATGACGCAGCCAAGACACTGGGCTGTCTGACTCGGCCTCGGGCTAAAGCCGGATTCCCACCGCAGACGCTGCCCACACTGGTGGTCCTGACGGGACAGTTTCTCACACTCACTGTGTCCTTGCTCTTTAGCTAGAACGTACACGTCGAGAGGCAGAAAGAACGTGATAACCACAGTTTGGGCGTCCGGCTTGCAGCTCAGGATTGACCTAGCTTCCACTTCCGTTATCCCCATTGCCTCACCGTCAGACCCCAGCTCTTCAGCACGCTGCTGAGAATCTTGGGTCATAAATTACGTGTCCATTGGGCTTGAGACAACTGCTCTGTAAGGAACTGCACTCAGACACTCAACCCACCTCAGGGCTGCGGCCGCGCTGTGACTACGTCTCAGTGAATCCCAGACTGAGGCCTCCGCTTCACCCCTGTGCTCTTCCCGGTTCTGCTTTTGCTGATTGACAGACAGACAGACAGACCGACTCCTGCCCGGCTCTCCCAGCCCAGCCACCCCATTCATCCCAAGGTGTCAAAGGACTCGTGCAGCTGCTGAGAAGGCGTTTCCCTGGGAAAGCCAGAGCCTCGCTGACGTTTCTCAGGTCCCAAGAGCAGCGCAGACGGATGTGCCTTAAGCAGTGGCCACGGCTGGCTTACATGTTTTTCTTTCTTTCTCTTTTTTCATCTGGGAATAGAGTGGTGGGGCGACAGGGAAAGAACTATGAGTTTTTGTTGAAGGAAAAATAAACGGGTTTTAACACTGTTGCCTTTCTATTTCCTGCAACTTTCTGAGCTTGCTTAAGAGATAAAACATTGTGGTCTGTTTAATTCCCCAAGCAGAATTCAGGAGTTAAATTAGCAAGATTTATATTTAGAAACACTGTATCTGTACTATTTCAGAAATGACAGAAGTTTATTTTGGTTTTAAATAAATCCAGACTCATGGGAAACAGTCTATTGGAAGACATTGGAAGTGGCCTGGGTCTCACTCTGCCTTCTATGGAAATGGGCCTGGCAGCGTTGGGTGAGTTACAGAAAACATGTGAAACTGTGACGTGTTTTTCAAGACAAAAAAGGTGGGCAGCAAGAAGGCCCTGATTATCCAAAATTGTGGCCTGATTCGAAGGATCTACAAAAAGTTGGTGAGGAAATGGAGTTAAAAGAGAGTGCCTTTTTTGCACACTTTTTGAAGCAGGCTTAGAGCTAGATGCTGGCTTCTCTGCAGAAGCCACACCTTGACAGGCCGCGAACAGCTGGTTCAAAGTTCATCATGTCCTGTCCATCCTGAGTGACCGCTGAGTGCCGTGGAGGCCTGACTCTGGGTCCATCTTGAGTGACCGCTGTGAGTGGCTGTGGAGGCCTGGCTGGACACGCCCTGCCCTTCCCACAGGAGAGAGGAGCCGAGACACGCACACAGCAGACGGCAAGAGACCGATCTCAGGGTCCCAGTTCCCTCTGCTCTCCCCAACCCCAGCCGCATGGGCCGGTGGTCCCCCAGGAGCTACACTGGACTGAACCAGAGTGGCGGTCACCTCAGACTCAGATGGAGCTGAGGTCTCCGAGGGCAGGGCCACCTCCTTCCCCTCTCTTCAGAGCAACGTGCCACCATCAGCCCCAAGGGCCTGGTCCTGAGCTGCCCCTGCCTCAGCTCCATCCAGTGACTCACGTCACAGGCCTGGGTGTCCAAGTGACAGTAGCAACCCCCTTAGGCAGCCAGTCCACATCACCCACCAAGGGGACTGGCTCAGGACTCTGGGATAGCACCTGCAAGGCCAAGCACAAAACAGAAGGGACCCTCAGGAGGAGCCTGAGCCCCTGTGTGTCCCGTGTCCCTCAGGTACCTCAGAGATGGGCTCTTGGCGGGGGCCCCAAGGCTGAGGGCCAGCTCTGGCGGTTTCCTTCTAGGTGTGAAGCTGGAAAGCCCAGAGCCTCACCGTAGGGGTACCACCAGGAGCAGTTTGCAGGAGAAAGCCTTAGATGTCCCAAAGCCAGGTGGGTTTTCTTTCAAGGATTCTACAACCGTCTTCAGCTTTTCACACTTGGTATGAAAGCTGTGCCCAAGCTCCTCCACTGGTTAGAGCAGGTCTGAGGCCAGCTCGGCTCAGGGTGAGTGACTCCCCCAGTGCGCTACAGATGATGGGAGGTGGGTGGGTCTCTGCACCATTCCCCAGCTCCTGGCCACACGCCTGAACATAGGTGCACATCTTCATAACGTCTGCCCTTCAGAGACGCCTCAGCCCAAGACCCACAGAAGTCTGCAGGCTAGCAGGAACGGCTGATTGCTAAAGGGCGGACGGCAGGGAATGTGTATAGAGTACTTAAGGCAGCGCCTGGTACCTGGTATTAGAGCCGGGGCCCATGGTCATGGGCATTCCCACGGACTAATGCAGCCTGACAGCGGGCAAAATGCCAGCCAAGGAGACAGTAGCAGGGGTCAGCTGTTAAGGTTTCCTTTACCTGAGAAAGGAGATCTTTTTATCTTAAAAAGAGACACTTAGGGGACAGGCTTTCCCTAGCCCCGTAGGTTTAAACAGTCATTTTGGATGTGATACCTCCAGTTGTGCAGCTAAAGAACAAAACCATGAGGTACAAGGTCCGGAAACGTGTGGCCTGCAAAAAAAATTTAAAAACAAAAAACAACCCACTGCCGTAGATACCAACACAGAGACACTATAGGACAAGGCAGAATTCCCCACAGGGTTTCCGAGGCTTAGTTTTACAGAAGCAGACTCCACATCTGTCTTCCACGGAGCACACAGCTGGAGGGTTCAAACTGCAGACCTTTTCAGTTAGTAGCTCAGTGCTTACCCCACTGCACCACCAGGGCTCCTGAAAAAGCTGGGGCCACTCCCAAAGCTCCTGCAGTCTTTGGATTCTCCTGAGATCCAGCCCCATCCCTCACTTCCGGGAATTGGGAGGGGGATAGACGTGGTGCTGAGAGCTTCCGGTTTGGGAAAGGTTTAAGAGCTGAAGCATTAGCTCCAGGAGCCCTGGGCTCGGGTTTCCCTGAGGCTCCGCGGCAGCCTTGGGATCTGAGAAGTTTGTGGAATTAATCCACCCGCTCAGAACCACGCCCTGTAACTACAATGGCAATCTATTCTGCTTTCCAACCAACAATTCCAGTTCTTTTTAGAGCAGCTGAAAACAGTGCGGAATCCAGTCTGGAGGGACTTTGGCAATCACGATTTTCTGTCGCAGCACAAGAAATGATGGCATGCAGTCTTACTATGGAAGGTCAAAAACAGGCTTGTTTTATTTATTCACAAGAACAACTTATTTACACCGATTAGATGCAGACTATGTACAGAACATACAAGAGGCATCTCTTCACCGGGTCGCTGTATAAATTAGAATTATAAATACGAGGGGTAGGGCCCACCCACCCGAGGGCACAAAGCCTTTTCCACCCAGACTCAGGGACTCTGCCTCGTGCCCTTAGCAAGTCGGTAGGGATGGGGCGGGCAGCTTCACACAAGCCACATGCGGTCCTCATTCTAACTTATTGGAAATAGAAAAATGGGGTTTTCCATTACTGACAACATACTAACTTTAAACAATACTTTTGACCCAAAGCCTTTTTCCCCAAAATAAGGGAACTGAGGTGCACCCTCCTCACATGTCCTAGCTGGCCCGAGTGTGTGAGGGCTTAGATTCGGGGTGACGGGCACACCCCCCAAATCGGGTACCATTATCTCCTTAGTTTGAAGGGTGAGTGAGCGCTGGCAGAGACTTGGAGTCTTTCTCAAAGTAGCGCCACCTAAAATGGCTGTGATGGTGGGAAACACTCTGGGAACAGGGCCGGTGGCTGTAGAAAGGCCACCAGTCCTGCCCTGAGCTCAGGGGCCTTCACTCAAATCCGAAGCCTCCGTCCCAGTGTGACCACAGCCCCCAAGGACCATCATGGGGCACCCTCAGCCACAGCGCGCCACGGGCCACCGGAAGTGCAGTGGTCAAAAAGGTGTCTAGACCGCGTCCATCAGCCCCCTGGGGTGACTCCGAGGAGGGTGCGGGTGAGGGCCTGGCCCCACGTGGGCCTTTTCCTTCTAACATGAACCCTAAGCCCCCGTGCGGTGTGAGCATCTCTGGGAAGGTTGAGAGGGGCACAAAAGGACCCCCGACCCCAACCCGGCACCGCCCAGCCCAGCTTTCCCAGGCCGGCTTCTGGAGTCGGGGTTCCCCAGGCACTGGAAGCAGGGCCCCAAAACCCTTGTCCATCCACTGCTACTTCCGGGGACCCAGCGCCACAAGCGGAAGTAACGGGTGGTGGGCTGGGGCTGCGTGCACAGCGGTGGCGTCAGTCCCGGGCTTGCAGCACGCAAGCCGCCAGCGCGGACGCTAGGCCTCGGCGGGCACCCGGCTCAGCTCCTTGATGCCACACAGGATCCGCTTCATGTGGCCCACCTTGGTCACGCCCAGGTCCTGCGGGAGAGAGGGCAGCTGTGGTGGGTGGGGCGGGGGACAGAGCAGCCACCTCCCGAGGCTCACACTCCGAGATGTCATTAGCATGAAGGCACCACTGCGGCCCGGACTCTCCCTTCGGGGCAGGGAGGCCACCCTTTGGCCAGCGCTGCGCAGGAGACCCGTGTCCAGGCCCTTATCCTCACTGGACAATTTCTATTTCTGAATTTGCCTAGTCACTGGCGTGTTGCCCCAAACGCAGTACTGTGAAGTGACCACCTGACTTCACGGGCAGACCCCACGGCAGAGGCAGCCGCTGTCCGCGGGGAGGGGGGCTCCTCCTCGTGCCCTTAGTTCCACTTGAACTTGGCAGTTCAGGGGCTGCCACCCCTGAAGGTGGTTGTCTAGTTGGGGTGTTGTGCTGCCACCCCTGAAGGTGGTTGTCTAGTTGGGGTGTTGTGCTGCCACCCCTGAAGGTGGTTGTCTAGTTGGGGTGTTGTGCTGCCAGCCCTGAAGGTGGTTGTCTAGTTGGGGTGTTGTGCTGCCACCCATGAAGGTGGTTGTCTAGTTGGGGTGTTCTGTTGTTTGTAAGGTGGCCCCAGCTCTCTCTCATGTGCGCTATGCTGACTCCTGTTACTTCCCTGGGCATGTTCTATGTGGAAAATGGTGGCTTAGGAGATTCCTAGTCCCCCTCCGCCCAGGATATGTGGACTCCTGGTGTGGCACCGAAGGATCAGCTCTGGACTGTGAACCATGAGGTCAGCAGTTCAAACCCACCAACTGCTCCTCCAAAACCCCTCTACAGGGTTTGGAACCGACTTAACAGCACTTAACATCATCCTATGTGTATGTGGAGCCCTGGTGTGGTTCCAACTCACCAGGTGCCCTCTGGAAATCCTACACTCGGCGTGCTGACGGAACTGACCCAACAGCACTTTTCAAGTGTGTGGAATCCTGGTGGCACTGCTGGATAAGCACTAGACTGCTAAATGCAAGGCTGGCAATTCAGAAACCCTACATACACACCAGGAAGCCATACGGGGTGGCTGGGAGTCAGAACCAACTCAGCGGCACTTCACACATGCACGTCCCCGTAGCTTTCTCTAACTGGGGCGAGTAGGGGCCACACACACCTAACATCTGGGGAGAAGTCTGACGGTGGGGCACATCCCACAGCAGCTGAGGCAGGGACAGAGGGACAGGAGGCCCGTGGGCAGCTGACTGTCATGTACCTTGAGGTCCCTCCGCTCCAGGTGCAGGAGTTCGGAGCCCCGGATGTCATGACGCGTGAAGATGTCCTTATACTCACAGAGACTGAGGTGCTCCAGCCAGGCAGCCACCTCCTCTGTCCCCCAGAGGTGCACTGTCAGAGATGGAAAGCAGGAGCAGTGAGGGCCAGCCCTCGCCCAGCACAGCCCACCACCCAGCCAGCTCAGCAGCAGAAGCGGGGTCCTTCCTGCCAGGCCAGTCACCAGCTTTGTGAGGGGGCGTTTCCCTCCGCACCCCAACACTGGGAATGCAGCTCATGGCCGGAGGGAGGAGGCGAGGCAGAGTGTATGTCATCAGAGCCACAATCATGAAGAAGCCCCATTTCTCATCTCATGCTAAGAAAATCAAAAAGGGCTTGTTTGCCCTTGGCAGCGGCCAGCACCACCCCAAGTCCAGCCTGGGTCCAGCTCAGCACCAGGGGACGGCACCTAGAATGCTAGTCCCTGATTGCACCGCCCACAATCACTGGTGGCCCAGGCCCCCAGGGCTCGAGCACCGGAGGACTCATGCATGGATTAGACAGGAGTCAGCAGGGGGCAGGTCCTGGCTGAAGGTCTCTGTCTGGAGTGTTTGTCACTGTCACCTCTGCCCCACCCTCACCCCCTCGGTCCAGAGTGGTAGACGGGTTGTGGGGCTCTGACCCTGGGGTCCCCTAGAGAGCAAACCCAGGGAGTGCAGACGGGAAGGACATGGGTGAGAGCTACTGCGCAGGCTGCCATTGTGACCTGAGGCCTCAGGAAAGGGACACAGGTGAGGGCGGCGCAGGCGGTGGCAGGTACCCGGGGCTCCCAGGCCGCTTCGCGCTTTGTCCTTGCTGTTTTTCTCCTTTTTGAACTTGGTCACCAGGCGGAATTTACCACTGCGGCTGCGTTTAGAAAGATCCAGCATCCCACTCTGCAGGGAAAGGAGAGGCACTGAGACTCGCTCCCGCGCCCCAAACCCCTGGGGGAAGTTCAGCCTCAGGGAGGCCAGCCACCAACCAAACCAACAGGGGTTCTGTTCTGTCAAAGCCCGCCCCCCGGTTTATTTAGCCTCGAGTTTCAATGCCGTGTAAAGTAGTTGTGGCACCATACAGTGTCCACTTTTATATTTTCATTTTTTTTTTAATGTGCATTTCTCCTAAGATTAAAACACTACATAGCTCCTTGGAGGCCAGGATGGCCAAACTTCATCTCATACTCCGGATGTTTTGTCAGGAGGGACCAGTTGCTGGAGAAAGCTATCATGTTTGGTAAGGTGGAGGGTGAGAGAAAAAGAGTTAGACCCCCAACTAGATGGATTGTCCAGGTGGCAGAATCGATGGACTCAAGCGTAGCAACAATTGTGAGGTTAGCCCAGGACCAGGCAGCGTTTTGTCCTGTTGTGCCTAGGGTCGCTATGAGTTGGTACCGACTCCATGGCACCTACAACAACAACAAACTCCAAGTTGGTGGCTCAAGTCCACCAGCCACTCAATAAGAGAGCTGGCGGTCAGGTCAGCTCCTGGCAAGATTACAGCCCCATCTGTAAGGACTGAGACCCTTCTACTTGGTCCTAGGGGGTCACTTCAAGTCGGAATCCACATGGAAATGGATGACGGTGGTTTGGCTTTGTCATTGTAAACCTAAGTTATAAGCCGGTCTTCTCAACTTGGGGTGCTCAACCACGACTATTAACATTATGAATATCCTTACAGGAAGCTTTTCCCGAGCTGGTGAGAATCTAAGATTTCCAGGTAGGAAGGCAGGACGTCTAGTCTAGTCTGTGCAGTATGCGCCTCATACCCATCCAGTACAGCTCTGTCTGGAATTCACATGCACACCAATACACCCGCCGGCACTGACACTTGTGTTAACCCTGGTGCCACCGAGAACAAGGTGTAATTTCCTTGTCAGGCAGGGCTGGCCTGGACCCTACCCCAAAGCAGCTGCAGGCGTTTGCAGGATTCTGTGGCTACTGCTGGACCTGATGTCCATCTTGTCATCACTGTTGTTAGCTCAGTTTTTATACACGTATTTAAGGACCTCTGAGCAAACTTGAAGGAGCCCTGAAAGCACAGTGGCTTATGCATTGGGCTGCTAACCACAAGGTCAGTAGTTCAAATCCACCAGCTGTTCTGCAGAAGACAAGCAAGACTTGCAGCTCCCTTAAAGATTTACAGTTTCAAAAACACTATCCAGGGTCACTATGAGTTGAAATATCTGTGAACCTGCAGGTCAACAGCTCAAATTCACCAGTCACTCCTCAGAAACCCTAACCAGGATTGCTGAGTCAGAACCAGTTCAATGCCACAAAACAACAACATAATTCAGCTAAAAGAAGCCTCAGTGAATACACCTGTCTGAAAAAAAAAAAACGCCGTCGAATCCATTTTAACTCAAAGCAACACTAGAGGACACACGCTTACTACTCCCTACGGCTTCCGAGGCTAGAGATGGCTACAGAAACAGGCTGCCTCACCTTGCTCCCGAGGAGAGCTGGTGGGCTTGAACAGGAGACCCTGCAGTTAGTAAGTGTCCCAATGATTAACCAACTGTGCTACCAGGGCATAGCGCTCCTAATTACCATCCAGTCTCCTCTGTTTGTGCATGGAATATCTGGGAACATTTTAGGTGTGCTGGCTCAAATACAAGGCAGTTGGGGCAAGGAAGGTGGAGGCCTAATCTGGTCTGCAAACCCCGTGGCACAAGGCTACCCTCCCTGCCTTAGACCTACAGCTGCGACTGCCTACCTAGAATTCAACTTCAGCTGACAGAGCACAAACACTAAGTAACTCTGGGTCTGCTTGACTTAATTGATTTCACACTTCTTTCTGCTAGCAGACTCACTCCTTACTCAGTCGTTCTTGGCGCTGTCTCCAGTGTTAGGTTCCGTTCTGGGGCCTGTTTGAACTTTCCTTCCCATGGATGAAAATGCCTTTCTCATGACTGCTTAGACTTAACTGAACAGTTGTTGGCTCCTCCTAAGAACTTGAAGGAAACTTCTTTCCCCAAGCCTGGCTGAGTCTTGTTTGTAGCTGGCTCTAATAGGAAGCCTACTCCTAGTTGTCAGCATGAAGCTAGGTAAGCTGTTACAACTTCTAAGGAAGCCATCGGAAGCCAGGCTCTCCCCAAAGCCATTTCAGCACCATGAGCTGAACTGATGGCTCTCACTAGAGCCTACAGGATAGTTCTGGAAAGTCTGTGAGTATCTTTATGGATTTTCAGTACTGGTTTGGGACTGTACATGATTGTAGCATATTACGGGAACATTCTATTTCCAACCTCTCCTGGAGCTGCCATAAAAATGACCTTTCAGGCGCCTTGCTGCTCTCTTCTGAAATAAAAAGACAAGCTCATCAGCGCCAGAAACCAGAGGAACGAAGGAAGTAACACCGCTGTGAGTACTGAGCGATCTTGGCGCTCAAAACAACCAAGAACAGGGCTCGCAGGGTCTGTCACCAACTGTAACCTCTGAGAACTGACTTGAGAAAACCTAACACAAAAACAACTGGCCCAAACTGAGGAAAGTGAGACCTGGAAAAGAGAGAGCTCCCCCCAAGTCCCCAAAGCTAAAGTGTGCACTAGATCAAATGAAAAACACCAGTCCTACTTGGTACCTCTCACTGGGGGAAAAAGAAATGACAGAGACCATGAAGAAATACTGGTGGGGGCAGTTTTCGGAGGCCTCTTTATATGTGACCCAATTTACTGACGCTACAATCTTGGATTGGAGTCCTCATTGTAGCGCTGTGGGCTAATGCATCAGAATGCAAAGCCATTTGAACTGCAAAGTTGGTGGTTCAAGCTCACCAGCTGCTCCTCGGAAACCCTATACAGGGTCGCTATGGGTCACAATCGACTCGACAGCACTTAACAATCCTGGAAGATGAGGTCCCACCTGGATGGTGTTTTCTACCATCTGGGCCCGGGCTTGAGTGGTAAACAGACTTTATTACCAATAGGTATTATGATTTCCACAGTGCCGCCAGACCACTGCAACCTTCCTGGCCAAACAACTCTTTCACTAAACTACGCCCAGCTGGGGAAGCATCCAAACCTCTTTGGAGTGATCAACGAACCCGCTTAACCCTGACTGTTGAAAAACTCCGCCAAGTGCTCTCCGTTTACCAAGTGTTCTGCTGCCCCTGCCATCTGCACCTCATAGCTCAACGTACATAATGGCGTTGACAGAGCCCTAAGTTTACCCTGGACTAAAGTCCTCCCGTTAGTCCTCTCTACCATTTGGTCCCCAGAAACAGGCTCCTCATGAAACTGCAGGTCTTATGGCTCTTCCTGATGTTGTCTGCGTGAAGCCGACATTATGTAAGTTTATTTACAAAAATATTGTCAATCCGTAACGTAATACTCTAAGAAATATCTTTCCTAGATTAAAGGAGCTTTTGATGATCCAAAAATAAACATCCCTAACCTACCTAACCTTGCCCCTGCATCAACTAAAGGAGTCACTGGGACACCATTGGAAAAACCCTATTTAGTTCTCTTTTCTAACCCCTGTGCAGTGCAGCAACGCTTGAGGGAGTAAAACCTTAGATCCATCAATCCCAGCTCAAGCTAAACTTCCTCTCTGGACCAGCAATAGTGGAGAATTACGGCTGTGTTTAACCTCCCTTGTGGCTAGCAGATGCCATCAGAGTTAGACGACTGATCTGAAGATCACAGAACACAGTGCCATGCAGCCTGCTGGACTCTTTAGACTTGGCTTTATAGGCTTCACCTTTCTGGTACTAACTGTGCGCCACACCTGCAGCCTGCTCCCTTGGTAAGACTGTGTTCTGCTCCTGCCGGTCATCGAAGCACCTTATTGCAGGTTTACTTTATCATATCATTTGGGTAGTTTTTCATTATGAAGCCCTTCTCAAGTTTTATTTTATTGCCTTCAATAATTCCCACCAATGCCTGGAGAGCAAATGCTTGTGTTGGTGAGCCCAAACAGCAGTCCATGCTGGATCTATGACCCCTGTCCACAAGCCAGACATCAGACTTCAGATTCACCCGTGCCCTCTGTGTGCAATGATGGTGTTTATATCCAATACCATCTGTGCGCAGGCCAGATGCATTACTCTGGCATCTTTCTGGATTCTTAGCCCAACCGCAGGGATCTTAAGATGCTATAATTGAACCCGATCCATAACACCTGGCCAGGCCACAGCACACCTGAGAGCTTGCTTTGCAAAGTACAGAGGTATTCATGTTTGTCAAATTAGCTATTACCTCCAACGTAGACTATTCCCTAGATACTCTGGAGTTTTATCAAGCAAGGCACAGGAATCACCTGACTGCATAAAGACTGACTCATCCCCCTTCATCCTAGTCTCTGGGACCCTCTCAAGATGGGACAGTGTACTATAGTGATTTCATGTCTCTTCTAGCCACAGTCTGTAACTCTCACCAGACATTTCTGCCTTGCTGGGTCTGGGTAACAGAAGGTGGCAGAAGAGACTGGTAGGGTAACACGATTCCTGTGGATGTTAACAGAGTTCACTGCAATTGTGCCACCTTGAAGCTCGAGCCTGGGTAGAAAACGAACCATCTCAGAAGCAGGAGGAGGCTCTCACTACCATCAAGGAAGAAAGAGCAAGGAGTGCAGCTTGTCCTTTGGACCCCAAGACCCACCCCTGCACACTGACCGTCCTCCACCCAGGGACAAAAAGCTGTGACCCCAGAAGAGGGGCAGAGGAGCAGCAGCAGCAGAACCAAGATCCAGAGCAAAGACAGAGCCGTGGGCTTCCCAGCCCAGGAGCATGTAGAGCTGAGGGACTTTGGGCAGGAGGCCAGCTTGCAGATGCCTCCAGGCATTGAAATGGGGCAGGGGAAGCTAGGTTTGCTGACCCACAGAGCTAGAGCCGAGCGCTTTCAGGCTGAGGTTTATCGTGAGTGGTGTGTCCTGCGGCATTCATCAGCAGCTGACCGGAG